ACCATCCCTCACCCACTATCGTCTTCAACATGTCTTTTTAGTCAGGAAGGAAAGATAGGGCAAGTTTCCCTCCCTGACCATTGTCCTCAGATCCCGCAATGCTCCAATGTGCTCCGCCCTTTCTGTGGCATCACTACTTACGCCCTTCCTACATTGTTTCTACAATCCTTCTTCATATTGTTTCCTCCAGTCCAGTGGGTCATGGGTCCATACACCTATTGCTGGGTGGCTCCAATGCAATTTGTAAGTGCCAATGCACATGTGTTGTAGCGCACTCTACTACTCCTATGTGGTTTATGCAAGAGTAGAATAAATAATTCTTTAAGGTAAGCACTATTGATAATGTATAGTTTTTAGTGATGTTATAGGAGGTAGCAGTCATGAAATAAGATATATTCATAGCAAATAAGAAAGCTAAACTCCATTAGAGAGGGGAACTCAAGAGGCTTTTCTGCCTAATAAACAAAATACAACTATATTAGGAATGTTTTCTTCTGTACAGGCAGTCCCCGAGTTACAAACATCTGACTTCCATACGACCCCTATTTACAAACAGAGGCTATTACTGTACAGCAGGGGGTCCCAGGCTGCAGCCAAAGTGTACCACACAGCATTTCAGTAGTTGTAATGCTACTGTGCTCGAGCCGACAAGGAGTGCCCGCTTCTTGGGTCTGGTTCGTAGTACTGTACGTACATTACAGGAAGTTGGTTCTTTCTAGACGTGCAGACGAGGGGTGCACACCTCTTCTTCTGGGTCACTGTGAGGTTTTCACTGCTGTCTGTATCCTCATTAGAAAGATTTAATCTCACTGCCTGTTCTTGGAACAACAGGAAGTGAGAGGAAATCTACCCCTAGGAAGGGAAATTCACTCCTGTAAGAGTTATCATGGGAAAAATGTGTCTCCACTGAAGCTTTATCGCCAATCCTTGTTTCCACGACAACCCACAATTTTCAAAATCCAATTGTCACAGGGACAGAGAGTGAGGTGAAATCTTCTGAAAAGGGGCACACACAGAAAAACAAACATTAACCCTTCTCTATGCTATCCAAAAAAAAAAAAAAAATTTGGGGCTGGAGTTACACGTAACAAATAAACCTGTTCCAACTTGCATACAAATTCAACTTAAGAACAAACCTACAGTCCCTATCTTGTTCGTGACCCATGGACTGCCTGTACTTATAGAAATAGCTTTTATGTTTTTAATTGGAAACCAGATTCACTTTTAGATGGATACTCTGCCCATTATTTAGTCTGACATTGATGTTTGAATATACAGTATTTGCAGTTGTCACAATCAAAGTAAAAGTTTTGCAGTTTGGATGTATGATCCCTGACTGTAGCGCAAGATCAAGTGCAATGCAGATTTAAGAGGTTTGAAGAATAGGGGCAATTCAAACACACCTTAGCTCATTTACTGTATCCAAGTGAAGTTCACAAGGATAACCTTTCACCTTTAATCGCTCACCTGCTGAGAGGTCAACAGGGGTTGTCAATTGTGCTGCCATCCAGATTTCATGTCTGTTGGCTGATTAATTCATCTGCAGACATCCTCAAACAAAAGAAGAGCTTCATAAAAAAAGCATCCCCTGGGGTCTAGTCTCAGAGTCCCCACTCTCCTGCAGGGTAAGCTATACATGCCTAGAGGGAAGTGAGGGATGCTCGACTTCATACAGCAATGGAAATGCAGTATATTTCTCTCTCTCCTCTTGGCTCTTGGACTTTGATTCTTTGGTTCACAGCACAGTACAAGTCCTGTGCCTATTATTATTATTATACAGGATTTATATAGCACCAACAGTTTGTGCAGCGCTTTACAATATAAGGAAGATGTCACAATTACAATACAATTCAAGACAAGATGGTAAGGAGGGCCATGCCCATGAGGGCTTACAATCTAAAAGGGAGGGGCAAGTGATACATCAGGAGGTAGCTGTGTGGGGATGAATTGTATGAGAACATGATGGGGATTATCTTTGTGGTGGTTAGGTTGAGGTGGGATAGGTTGAGGTGGGATAGGCTCACCTGAAGAGATGAGTCTTTAGGGATCGCCTAAAGGCAGTCAGAGTAGAAGATAGATGGACAGGTTGGAGTAAAGTGTTCCAGAGGATAACTTTTAAAGGATATTCATAGTCAAAAACTAAAAATAAATCTGTATTTCTATATTGAATTTGCATAAGTTATATCCCACTCCTAAAAACAATATCCATCTAGCAGTTTCTAAACTTACTTATTGATGATGCCCGTAGGATGCACTTCCTCAATGCACTGACACACAATACTCGGCTTGTGAATATTTACTTCCTTAAGTCAACGTCTGAACAAATGTAACATTATCATTGCTTGTTGGAAGCAATGGGCTATGTAGTCTTGAAGTATCAAAATTGCATCACATCCAGCAGCAGAGAGAGAGACACAAAGCACACTGGGAATCCAGAAAGTTGATGAAAGCGATGGGCAGACAGAAGGCAGCACTCACTACATAAAAGGGATTTTTTCAAGTACGCTTTGATTGTATTATCAAAAACAACTCTAGTATGTATTCCTATTACATTGCTGATGTTATAACAGGATAGTAATACTGTGATTTTAGAACTTCTGTAAGGGCTCCTCATGCCCTTATAAAACTCTGAGTTGAGATCCGCCCTGCATATAATTTTACATGTTTCAAGAGAAAGTCTTAGACATGAAACATATTTTAGGAGACAAGCAGACGAGATCCATTACATGAAACTGCGAGAAATCACTGTCACTGCCCTTTTTCAAATTCATGTTTCTATATTTGTGTTCTCTACAGTCCACTTGCTCCACAAGATCAATTATACAAGGTCAGAGGTAAAAAAAGGACTGCACAATTAGTGCCAAAAGGGACACAAGTTGGGCACCAGGGGGTTAAAGCAACTCTCTTTCCTAAATAAAATGTCAAAGAAAGAGGTTACCTGTAAAGAGCAAGTATTTACTCACTTCTCTTGCTGCTGTTGCCGCCAAATTCCACTTGCAGAGGAATCACCCAATGACTTCTCTTGAGACTCTAACACTTCTGGTAGTGTCAACCTTCTGTGTCTCAGTGGTTCCTTCCACCAACCTCTACATCACTACCGGACACAAGTTGGAGGTGGAGGTTGGCGAGGAAAACCATTGAGTCAGGGTAATTGTAGCAGAGAAGTCAGAGAACAGGGTTCTGTAGAAATGGTTCCTAGCATGATTTTGTTTTTCCGGCACTGAATCCCCTTAGTCAAAAACAAAAACTGCGTGGGCGGGCTCCCCCCAGCAATGTAACATTCTGCTCTTTCCACTATTAGCCGGTGATTTTTTATTTTTCCCCCCCATAAAAGTCAACATGTTTTTCTATATCATCATCGGGGTTATGATTAGTTTATCTGCAAACAGCGCCTGGCTCTCTAATCTTAAACTAAACATTGTGTGCTCAATTTGACAGTACTGGTTTCCACGACAACTTGTACTTTCCATGGCAATTTTAGGTAGCTATTTATATACTGGTGTCATATTTTCCAAAAAAGTTATCAGACATATTCATATCAAATCATTTTACACAATTTATTTTCTGCCGTTGCAGATTAAATATAATACTGTTTATTTGTATCTGTCATACTGGAATCCATGTGGCTATGGTGAGATATAGACGGTCCACATAAGAGTAATGGTTACATGTCCAGATTAATAAGGGCCAGTACTCATTTAACAGTCACTTAATTCAGTATTTATTCTGAATGACACCCAAAGGCATTACTATGGTAGCAGACAACTCACCCACACCGTGTCACATAAAAATGGTGCATGCCCATTTTTGCTTACAATAGCAGCCCATTCATAATGAGCACAAGTTCCTTAAAGCTTAATTCCAGGCAAACCGCTAAATACACATATGAAATAAGTATGTGGGAGCTGTCCATTCAGCCCCAATATTTACACAGTTCTGTCACACAGTACAGCCCTTTCTAGCAGGTGAAGGGACCTGATTTTTCTCTGCTTCAGTAAGTAACACTTCTCTCTCCCCCAGCATGTGAGTGAACAGTTAAGGCGAGGCAGCAGACTGATTAACCTATCTCTCTGTCACTCTGCCTTCCCCCGATATCAGCATATTATTTGTTAGTATATGATCACCGCAGCACAGCTGATTGGCTGCTTGTGCGCTTCTCCCTCTTCAAAAAAAAGAAGGTCCAGCCTAGAACAGCAGATGAAGGCTTCTTTTTAAGGCCTACATGACAGGTTTGGGAGAAGGAAGGGGTACCATTACTTGATAGTTATCTAAGCAGTAAAGGTTATGTGAGGTGGGAAACATACCTAATTGGTTGATGGGAGGGGTATAAGGAGGAGCTGTAGGAGGGTCTGAGGAGATTCCAGATTCAGTTGGAGTCAGCAGTGTTGCAGCAGTATTTCCACTCTTCTGCCCCTTTTTTCTTAACTTTAGGATAGTACTTATTGTATTTACAGTATGTGTTTCATTTTGTTCTAACATTTTCACTGCAAGCAGGGTATTTGGCATCCACAATTATCATGTCATTTAGATTGGAGAGCCGTCTCAGGTATGGCATCCCTGTGGTAATGAGTCATGTGGAGATTCATTTGGTATATGGTGTCCTGCTGTTGGGGACCTATTATACCCTTCAAAGTCCCTAATCCCGGTTACAAATATTTTGTTATGGCTAATGTTTGTATTGATAGTTTACTAGGATGTTATTTGGTTCTGTATGTGATAAATGTTGGCTGTGATCACAAAAATCCAGCCCTGATATGGTGTCAGACAAAGGGTGGAGTTGTGGATTGGATTCGGTTGGCCAGGTATTATATTGAGCATGAATACAGTATATATATATTATACACACACAGTATCTATCTATCTATCTATCTATCTATCTATCTATCTATCTATATTCCAGATGTAAATTGGCTTATAAATGTGAATAGTTACATACATATAGAGCGAACACAGGCAGCCAATTACATACAACACATCTGTCAAGTTTCATGAGCACTTACTCTTGCACTCTGTCCTGCTATGAGCTGGTCATCTTCTGTCTGGACGCTTGTTCGGCTTCGGACATCATAATCTTCTTGTTCAAAGTCAGAGTCATCTTCTAGTTCTTCGGGTGTCTACGAAGGCAGATGTAGAGAGTGTTAACAATTGGTGCTATTATTGGTCTTTAAGCACTATTGATGAGATTAACTGAGTTTTCATATACCCAAAATTTTGTCAAAACATTGGGGGATTTTGGAAGAAATTAAGGTGGTATTTAAGGGTGCAATATACTTTAAAAAAAATGTTCCTGGGGATTACAGAAGCTCCTGGACTTGTTCTTTTGCAATAAGAGCTCCTTATGAGCCTTCTTTTTTATACACAGTCAAACCAAGAGTCAATTGAAAAATTTAAAGCAACAGCAAAACTAATTTTGTTAGTGTTTTTAATGGTGCATTACGTTAGTTGGCCAAAAACATGTCTGTTTTTTTTATCCAATGATGCACATTATAGGGGTATTTGATGGGAAGGAAAGTGCATGTCAACGTATGACAGCACTCCTGCCCAAAGCAGTAAAGAAACATAGAGGAAAATGTAGATGCATAGGTATGAATCTAGTCTAGGGGCCCATTTACAACTTCTTCTGTTGCAGCAACACGTCGGGGTGCAAATGATGTGCCACTGTGCATTGCAATAACTGCTGGACAATTATTAGGAGATTACTGCGTTAATTGATGGGCAATTGTTAGGAGATTAGTCTCAGGAGATTCATCTCAAGGGGTATACTGACGTGAAATGGGAAAAGCTCCTAATGGAGCAATTGTGGAACAGTTAATCTGCTGTTCCTATTAAAGTCTATGGTGGAGAAAAGAATTGCTACTAATTTCTAACAGGATTAAATTGCAGCATTTTGTAATCAATCTCTCAATCACACTGCTGATAAACCTACATTGCAACATTGTGAAATATACAAAAAGATTGATCCCATGAGAATGTAGTAGCATGACTGAACTACTCAGAATCACCCATACAGCCCCAAGTTTAAGGGTATATTATAATCAGTAGTGTAGAGATTCAGATTCAAATTAGATTTAAATTTTACTTTCCTAAAAATTTTATGAAATTCATTATCCTCCAATTTTGGACACAACTCAGAATTCCCAGCAAACCCTTTGAACCCAATCAGCTGCCTCACAACAGCCAATAAGGTGTGTGAGCTGTTTAGCCCAGCCCTTCATGAAATATTATTTTTTTATATATATAATGTGGTCTTAGTTTTTGTGCATTTTTGTGCAAATCTTCTTCAAAACTAAATCGGACATGTGACTGTTCTCTGGCCAATCAGACTTTTTTTGTGGCTGTTGGGGTTGCATTACAGGTAAGGACTTTGTTCTGAAATAAAAATTTGGATCGTTTCGAAACGAAACTTAGGATGGATCCGAAAACTGGATAATGAACCAAATTGAATTTCGGATCTGAAATCCAAAAAACGAAAAAAAGAAAAATCTGAATCAATCCAAAACTGAACTAAACTATTTTTTTGCTGGGTTACACAGCAAATTTTTAGGAAGATGTTTCCCCTGTTGTTTTCCCTTACAACTCTGCATTTAAGCCCATTGGCCCTTTCTCTGCCTCCAAACAAGAAAAAGTAAAAAATAAGTCAAGACAAATTTAAGCTTCCCCTTTCCATTTTTACATAAATGGCCTCTTTCACACCTCTTTTAAACCAGTCCACCTCCCTGTATAGGATACGTACTTGACTGTCTTCACCTTTGCTGTTTTAACACCTCTCTCTGGGCAGGTTATTAACACCTCCTAACTCCAATTATGCAAATGCAATCAAAATCTGGTTGCGACTAACAGATTATGTGGATTGGAGCAACATTCACCATATTTAGTCCCAGATATTTTTTGTACAAGTAATTCTGAATTGAGAAAGCTGGTTGGATGACCAGTGAAATGTCTTCCAGAAAAATACAGCAAGTCCATGTGCCTTGACTTATTTTTTACAGATATACCATGATCTGGATGAATGAGAACCTTTGCAGATAAACAAGAAAAAGGCTTTAAAGCCTAGTTGTATTTTGAGAGGTTGGAGGGGGACGTACCTATTACTGATATATGGAAATTCAGTTATTCCAAGGAGCCCAAAGGGGCAATCAAGAAAGGTGAGGTGCCATTATAATGTTATCCTGAGGCGCCTGCCCCTTAACCCAGCCCTCATTTGTGCTACATTTACCCAATACATCTTTACTTCAAGCCAGCCAGAAGCCAACTGATATGTTTTAATGGCAGGGAAGTCAATTTAGATAAGAGGGAAGCTTTCTTCAAAATGTAATAAGCACAAAAATTAAAAGCATCCATTGCTTAAAGCGGATGAATAATGTTCTGGAGGTAAAGAAAATGGCATTCTCATTGTGTATTGAAGAAAGCCTGTGCTTTAACACTGCCAAGATCTTTTAATGCTTTAACTGCTCAGAGAATGACAAACGGACTGGTAAGATCAATAAACAGAGATAAGATACAGATAGATAGCAACAGGCAAGAGACAGATACAGTGGCAGGGAAGAATATTGGCCACTTTCTGTTGTAAAGAATTGATGAGGTAAACACAGCGGAGGAGAATATAGTTCAATTGAGCACTTTAGCATAGAAAAAAAAATGTATTTATTGAATAGTAGATGCCCTGGCCAATAGTAAACTTCGGATAACCTTAACGGAAAACAATTGTGTATTTTCAGCGAGTACAGCGTTTGAGGTGTTTTTTTTTGCACATCTGGGATTAATTTTCAATTGTATTCTCACATGTTATTGCTCGATGCGCTATACCTTGATAATGGCATTTCATAAGCAGATCTGTATATTCTCTCCCCGGAGAATAAAGGTATATCAGACAATGCAATCAGCATCCTTGTCGAGCGACCGCCGAGGAAAGAAAAATCAATTACGGGCTAACTCAGTCAGAAGTTTGTATTATGTTTAAAGCTGCAGGAAAACAACTAAATGCACAGATGAAGGACAATCTGTAAAGTGTTTTCATTTCCAAAAGGAAAATTCTGTTCAGTCAGCCTTGCGGTTCTGATCTCCTGGGCAGTATTCTGCAGTGTTTGAAAACCCAACAATGAAATCCTGTTTCTCGCTACGTTTTGGTCTGTTAAAGCAAAACTGTGTTAACCCTTGCAGTTGGGCTACCCCCACACTGCAATGGTTAGGTTATAGGTCACCGAATCCACAGAGCCAGCTTGCTTTAAGACTGGTCCCTGGAGCCTCTCTCCCTCTCCGGTGCAGTGGTCTAAGGTCCCAAGAGTCATCACATCCTATACACAGTATAGGGTGAGACAGCCTAGAGGGAGCGCTGTGATAGCCAGCTGGCTACATGGTTTGGGTTAATATAACATTTACCTTTAAGGTATAGTGCACACATCATACAGTGTGTTCCAGCACAGCTTGGTGCCCTGAACTCACTGCATCGCATAAACCAAGCCTCTCGCATTCTGGGGCGTGGGGGTTTATGCGATACAGTGAGTTCAGGGCACGGAACGGTGCTGGAACACACTGGATGATGTGTGTATGGGCCCTTAGCACCTAGACAAAAACGAACACCTACAGGGCTATTCACAAAAGGGTGAAGAGTTTGGAAAAGGCGGAAGAAGTGAACAATTTAGGACAATACCTTTGTTATATCTGCAAAGGTATGGGGAAACAACTCCAAATAAATAACCCTAGCTTTGCAATGGTATGTCCAACAAGCTCACATAAGTGTAATGGTTGGTTGCCCTCTAAGCATTGGCCATATAATGTTTAGATTTTGGTTGACATTGACATTAACAGGGTTATTCATGAGAGGTTGGAGAGTTTGGAGAAGGCAGGAGAAGCAAACAATGTAGGACAACATAGCTCAACTGGAAAGTGAGCTGAATTGGGCAATTTTTAAAAATCAGCTATTTTGGCCTAGATTGTTCACTTCTCCTGCCTTCTCCAAACTCTTCACCCTTTTCTGAATAACCCTGTAAATATTTGTGCATAAGTACAACAGTATAACATGTCTGTGAAGGTTCTCATTCATCCAGGTCATGGTATATCGGTATAAAATAAGTCAAGGCAACTGTCCAGTTGCCTTGACTTATTTTTTACAGATAAACAGTTGTCACAAGATGAATACCACCACCACGACATCTTACCCTTATCATAAGTACCGCTTTCCTGATGTCCCGAACACCATCATATACCAGGCGAGAAGCGTCTATAAACTCATTCTCTTCAAATGGCTGGGGGATATTGGAACTCAGTGCTTCAATGGCGACTTCCACTTGTTCAGCAAAACGGGGCATTACTTTACAAAAGAGGAGAGAAAAAGGGAGTTAATTACAGAAGCAGTGCAGATAAAATTAACCCAAGAAAGAAACATTAACCCTCTACCCTCTATATGAAGAGACAAAAAAACAAAAAGTTATTTGACTACAGGTCACATGATTAATTATCAATCACAAAACTTCTGAAGGTTTCAAAAATCCTTATCATCCACATTAAGATTAGGATATATATATATATCTCACATAGACGTGGTATTTATATTTCTGCACATAAAATAAATGGTTTGAATGCTCTCACTTTCTCAAGAGTTTGTACTTTAACCTCCAACCTCAAATGGCTTTCTTCAATACACAACTCACAGACCCTCACAATTACCACCAATGCGAATTGTGATCTATTTTAGGGAGTAATGATTTGTGTTATTATCTCTGTAAATTTACTTTTACATGAGATTTATGGTAAAACTGCATGATTTTGTAAAAAAAACTGCAATAGATACCACATATGATTACACAATTATGGCATATTGATATTTTCACACATATAATAAAAATAATGGATAGTGGTCTCAGTGTAATTCAATCTATGAGCAGCATTTAGACGCCCCTTGAGTGACTGAACTCAGAGAAAAGCTACAGCATCTTAAGTGGATTTTCCCACCTGATTGGTGTGAAGCCTCCACCAGAGATGCACTCCTAAAATCCATCTTTCACAGCTTTATACATGCATCCTTGGGCCATCCAAACAAGATCTTAGGAAAGGAAAATATTTTTGAAAGACAGTCTATATCTGGATGTCCAAAATCAGTGAGATGATTAAAAATTGTTAAAAAATTGTGTGCAACAGGGACTCGTGGTGAAATTAACCTTGCATACCTAACCTTGGTATATCCAACCTTGTAGACACGGTATTCCTGTATGAGATACTGACACCCCGTATGGGGCGGCTGTCGTTAGGGGGACACACACCTACTTGGGGACGGGGGGAACCTTAACTATGGAACTGTTCATATAATGGGGTTCGGTTTTGTATTGTATGTTATAGTATTTGTTTTATTATGTACTGAACTGTGTGCCTTGACGGACATGAGGGTTTATGCCATGTATTGTACTAAAAACTTTTAATAAAAAATAATTTATTTAAAAAAAATGGTTAGATGTCTTGCCAAGGCCAACAGGCAGTAGGACCTCCTTGTCCATGAAACCCCCTGGGACCTGGCATGCTTATACCAGTAACTCATCCAGATAATTAATATGGCACATGCACAGCAAATAATTCTCTTCTTTCTTCTCAATGAGGAGATTGGCCTGCTTGCATAAAGATCAACAGAGATAACATGAGTTTCTGAAAAGCAGAAGCACATGCTATTGCCACTTTTGGTGGTTTCACATGGTCCAACCTTTATTGGAACTGCATACTGTATCAGCCAGGTGAAGCAACCGATATTGGGTCTTGGCTGGTTTATGAGGGTGAACAGAAGAGAGTTTGAGGGGGCATGTTCAATGTTCAGCAAATGACTCTATGTGACCATGGACAAATGCTATGCTGGGCAAATGGATGTCACTGCCCATTTGTAGATGCAGAGGAAATAAGCACAGAGCACATCCTTGGGTGGCAACAGTGTTCTTGTTACAGATACTTTAAAGTGAACAAAAGGAGAATATAAAACGTCAGATATTGCCTGGAGTGAAAATGTGATTGTCTGATAGATAACACATAAGCACTTTGGCTGAGTGAGAAATAGAAGATTATTGCTGAACTATCATGGAGAGTAGGAAGTCAGCTCACAGATTTCAAAGAGTTTTTGCACTAAATGGCATAGCTCAAGGAAATACTCAACACAACAAGGAAAACAAGTAAACTAAAGTCACATCATAAACACAGACATTAAGAGGCCACGTGTTCTTCCCCGTGTACTGGGTGTTTTGTGACAGCAGTGAAAAAAGAAAATATCCTGACAACTTTTTTTATTATGAGGGTTTTTTTTTCTGACAGAACAACAAAGGAAAAGGGAATAAAATAAAATATGACATTAACGTGTATCTAAAGTAAACCTAAGAACAAAATGTATAACATTGCCTGTCCAAAAAAAAAAAAAGGCACCACCTGGATTCAGCTAAGCAAATATGTAAGAGCCCTACATTGGATAATAGGTCTAGGCTCAGTAATGCTATGTCACCAAAAGGTCAGTTGTCTACCTGAATATACGTAATGACCAGGTTTTTCCATCAATGGATTTGTTCTTCTCTGATGGCACATTGGTCATATTCCAAGATGACAATGCCAGGATTCATCGGGCTCAGATTGTGAAAGTGGTTCAGGGAGCATGAGACATCATTGTCACACATGGATTGGCCACCACAGAGTCCAGACCTTAACCACATTGAGAATCTTTGGGATGTGCTGGAGAAGACTTTACGCCCAGGTCTGACTCTCCCATCATCACTACAAGATCTTGGTGAAAAATGAATGCAACTCTGGACAGAAATAAATCCTGTGACATTGCAAAAGCTTATGGAAACAATGCCAAGAAAAAGCATGTCTCAATCAAAGCTAAAGGCGGTCCAACAAAATATTAGAGTGTGTGATTTATATTTTATTTGCAACCCCAGATCATAATACTTGTCCAATGGAAGGCTCTGACCTATTTGCTTACCTAAATCCACATGGTGACTTTTTTTTGGGGGGGCAGGCAGTGTATAACAAAACCAAAAAGGAGCAAAAAAGAGTTCAGTGTTTTGGATTATATACACTTCAAAGGAGAACTATGAGGTGAGTGATTTTCACTCACCTCATAGTTCTAGCCGACCTATGACAATGAGACTGTCACAGGTCGGCTCAGTAGATCGGGAGGTGAGCGAACACATACCGGCGTTTGCTCACCTCTCAATCCTGGATTGGATTCCCCCCTCCCCGCTCTGATCCGCCAGCGCTGACTGGTGGAACAGACGGGGGAGGGGGCGGGTACAGCTGGCTCTGACTTTAGATAGGCAGAGCCAGCTGTCATTCACGCAGCTGGGCGGATCCCAGTACAATTGTCGGGATCCGCTTCAGCTGCGGCGTCTTAGTATACTGCGGCGTCTCAATATACCGCGAGCTAGAGTACGATGGATGACCTTATTGTTGTGCTGCTGAACCTTGGTTGACCAATCAGGAGGATGGAAGAGGGAGCTGATACTCATATTTTGTATCTGTAACCGAAAATGTGGTGTGACCATTCTGGATATTGTAAGTAGGATTCACAAATAGTTTGGGAGTGAAAACATTTAAGATATATGGTTTTTGGCTTTGTGTTAAGCTGTTTGGAGACTATTCAGATTTGAACTACTGTACATACATGTTCGGTACAGCTGGCACACAAGCAGTAGTTTGGGGTACTTGGTACCCCTGATTCCTCAAATTACATGGATATGGTTGTGTTTTCCATAAGGTCAATGGGCACTTGCAGTAAAGGCAGTGACAAAACAGAGGATTATTGTTTTCTGGCAGTTTTGACTTGTACATCTGTTGCTCACATGTGGACAAGTTGGCAACAAAACTATAGATTTTTCAGAACATATTAAGAGGAGTTACATGACTCTGTGCAGGTCTCTTTACATGTAGCCATCTTCTCTGTTTGCTCTGCATTGATGAAGTGTACAGTCTAGGGATAACTTTACATAAAGCAGTCAAAATGCTAAATCCTAATGCACATTTTGGTTTTATATGGAATAGATATTTATTTTTAGTGAGGCATCAGCACATGAGAACGTTTCATATTTGCCAATTGCAGTCACACAGCAGCACCAGCTTTCTGTTACTTGAACAGATGATCAACTCATAATTGCATATTTCTTAAAGGAAACCTCAGCGGAGAGAAACAAACAGGATACCATTCCTGGCCTCTATCCTATGTCATAGAAATCCAAAAGCTTAGATGCTTAGTGAGTTATTGCATCAGTGGCTTGCACAGTTGCGCTTCGAGAGACAAATGGGAACCGGCAACATAAGGTGCTCAGAAGGTGTTTCAATCTGTTTGTGTTTTTTAAAACTTTCCTTTTTCTACCAAAATAGTCCAACAAAAGCAACACTCCACTGGGATTTCACAACAATCCTCAACCCCTCATGCCTTTCACCTGTTGGGCTCAATCATAGAGTGTGATTAAGCCCAACAGGTGAAACATGTGAGAAGCTGACGATCAATGTGGATAACTGAATTTGTGTGTTTATAATTACTTTAGTATTCATAAATGATTTTATTCTGGTGGCGTCCCAGTAGAGTACGGCTTTTGTTGGTCTTTTGTAATACAGAGACAGTGGCACATTTGTTTAGCCTGCACCTGGGAACCAGTCACAATTGGATCAGGTTGAAATTGGTGTTTGGGATGTGAGTGGTGTGTGTTAGTGTGGACTATAAAGTTGTTTTCTTTTTTTCTCATACATCCCATTATCAATGCAAAGCTTAACAGTTCAACTGCACCATTTCCATTTTGTGCACAGCAGAGGGCGCACATTCCTACTACAGCCAGCTGCCAAGAAGGTGGTCAGTATGGATGTGGGAGCAGGCACACAGACAGGAAGCAGCAGCCCCATTCCTGCCGCTGCATGCAGTCTTTGGTTTTTTTTTTTTTTTTTACAGATCCTTCACATCCACAAATGAACAGCTGTGTAACTGGGAGCTAGAAAAGCCAGGGGAAATTTTCTGATCTCCCATAGAAGTGCTAATGTGTTAGACTTCCTTCTGGGACTGCTCTAGGCTTCGTTGGTGGCAGAATTCCGGGAGCTCTTCGACTACATCTGTGAGAGAAACACAGAGAGGAAGGATTGCTCTGAAGTCGGATCTACATTTTCTGAACAACAGAAGATCTGCTAAAGGAAATCTTATCTTTCTTTGGCCGACCTGCATCAAAGTTTGGTTACATTTAAAAATTAAAATGAAAGAGTGAATGAAAGATGGGTTTTATCACATTGCAATTTGTACCGCTTTGCAGGAAGGTTATTTTAAAAGATTATTGGCCTTTTTTTAATTAAAGAGGACCT